TGGCGGCTCAGATATAATGGCAGCCTCCGGTACAGCGCCACCCGCCCCCACCCTTCGCCACCCCAACTCATCTCAACTTTGCCACCGCCGCCGTTCCCTACCTATTTCTCTTTCATCCAACAGCACCCTGTGTCCGCGTGTCGCCATCTTTCGAAATACAAAATGCCGTAGCTGGCGCGGGAGCTTTTAAAGAGAATTCCGTGGCGTGGGATATTATCGATAAAAGAGAAACAGGGAGATCTTTTAATATTATTCGATAGATTGTGGATCTTTATGCAACGTTTTAATCTTTGTAACGAATTTTTACGATTGAAAAGAGTGAAATAGACATTCATTTTCGTTCTTTTGAATATATATAATAATTTAATTTTGGAGATATTTTGTTTTGCGTTTTTTATAAATACATTTTATTTTATAAAATTTATAAATAGATTAATAATCCGTAATGTGTTAATAATTATTTGTTAGTTGTTATAGATAAAATGATCTAATAATTATTAATATTTACTTGTTTGTTAAAAAAAGATGTACAGTTTTATGGTAATTTTTTTTTAAATTTTATGTGGGATTAAGAGATTTTTTTAAGTATTGAAAGATTTATTGTTATACTTCCATATATTACGAATTGAAAGCAAATTATTTTTATTATGTAATAAAAAAAAACCATTTGAAATCCTACTATATACTATCTAAATATTTAATTCTAATCTAATTCTTATAAAATTTATAAAAATTTAAGATTTTGTTAATTATTTAAGATTTTGATAATCTTTTCTTTAGACTAAACGCAAACTTCAATTTATACTTAACTTAATAAATAAATTCAACCGATATTCTTGTATATCAATATTTTTTGCGTTCGTTTCTGTCTTTAAAATCAATCCTTTAAAGATTTTTTGCATAAATATATTAATATTTATGCAAATATTTTTTTTTTTTAGTAGAATATGATTTTGAAATGATTCTTTCAAACTGTTTTTAAATACAATTCTATAATGGCGTGAAATAGAGTAAATTTTTAAATTATAAAAATTATAACTATTCAAATTTTTTAATATTTTACTGTACCGTAAAAAATATGAAATTGTGTTCAAAGTATGAAAAAATGATTGTACGAAAAAATAATTGCTCCATATATTGAATGAAACTCATATTTAAATAAAAAACTTGAAATCTGGAAAGCACATCCACTTAGACTATAACTGATCATAAATAGAGATATTTTCTCAAAACAGCAATTTTCAATTTGAAATATTTTTTCAGAAATGAATAACATAGGATATAATTGCAATGTATCATTTCAAACAGTACAAGTATACAATTGATATATATATTAATGTATATTATAATACGATTAATTCGTTCCATGTTTTATTGAAATTGTGTTGAAGAAAATATCAAAGACATATTGTGCTATTTATTCTTAGTTTTGTAGAAATTATCAATACACTCTTGTCAATGATGATGATGTCTCTGATATCACAGATATCATTTTTCTTTCACAGTTATGAATGCACAAGTAATTCGTCGATTCTTATTAAATGGAAGATACATACGACATCGCGTGAAATGACAAATTAGAACTAACACAAATTAAAGAAATGTCAAGAAAAACGATATAATACAAAAATATATTATTATATATAACGAGTGTTTAAGTTTATTAAATTATATCGAAGAGTATATATAAGAGTTAAATTTTCTCATCATATTTTCATAGTTATGTTACAGAATCGTAACAAATTTTTATCATCAAAGCAGGATTTTTAGGTTACGTAAATTTTCCAATAAATCATCACATAAATCTCGTTTCCTTAACGAGTGATTCACTCCTTTTCTCTTATTCAACGTTAATACCGCGAACGAGAATTTCTCGGGAGCGGAAAAACATTTCGTGACTCGATAGAAAAAGGCTCGAGGCAAGAAATTAGTCGCAACACGGGGTTCGACGTTTCAAAAGTTAATGACTGAAAACGACATTGAAGACTGGCGCTGGATACTTGTGCCATTTGAGGGTTGGAAACGAACGCGTTCGAAAGTCTCGGCCGCATTGGTGAAGCCATTTCCTGGCCGGACACTTTGTGCATGGATTATAACCAACGAGTAAAAGCAAAGCAAACCGCGTTTTACTTGGCATCGCAGTTTAACAGGGTTAAGTCACCGCGGTTCCTGGGCTTTTAACTCGAACAACACCATCCTGCATTATATATCAAAAGAGCGAAACGCACTGGCTGTTTTAATATGTACCGCTCAGAATTCGGGGTCCACCTGAGTGATTCTGCAACGGTTGAATCCTAACTGTTGCCTGTACCCCTTCGTCCTGTCCATTCTTTAACGTTGTCAAAAAACCGCATCACTTCGAATCTATTGCGTTTCATTTTCCAGACGATGCATTTGGTTATATCGAGTGGTCGTCATGGACCTTCGGGCCCATTTTCTCCTCTTCGAAACGTTGCTTCGAAGAAAATTCTTAATGTAGTGTTGACGCGTCATTTCAGACTTTTTTCGAATTTACTTCGAGTAACAATTTAATAAAAATAATAATTTTAAACAAAGGTATTCGTTGTTTGATAAATTTGTGTAAATTTCAATTGAGATTATGCTCGTTGTTTGTTTGGCCAATTGAAATAATTTTGAATAATGTTTGGAAGATTAAATTAAATAGGGATATTTATTATTCGATAAGTGATGTATTTCAATCGAATTTGAAGTAAAGTTATAATTTTGAAAAAATAACAAATTAAAGAATTAATTGTTTATGGATAATGTTTATTTTCTAAATTGAAAATTTCTGAAATAATTTTATTATTGAATAAATGTAACAATCATTATAGTACATAACGGATGATATTAATCAGAAATAATAACAATGTAAACGTTTGTTGTTATTAAAAGAACTATTTTCATAAAAAAAAAATAAAAAATAATTTATTTTTCATGAAATATTAAATAAATTTGTCTTTCTTGACGTTTATTTTGTCACGAGAAAAGTTAATTAATAACCAATTTAACAAAAATAATTGTTGAAAATCATAAATAATATTTTATTATTTAAAATAATTAAAATAAATTTATTCAATCGTATAATTTAATGTTGAAAAATACTTTTAAAATTCGTCATAAAGTAACAAAAATAAGTAATAAATAAAATTGCATATTTAATATTTTTTAAAATATATCATCGAAATCATCGAGATCCAGTTTTTTTCTATTAATTTGCTTCAACTATTTTGAAGAAAAATAAAATAAAAAAATTGAAAAACAAAAATACGTAAATTATATTTACTAATATTTCTTATTTAATACTTTTAATATATAAATATTTTTGCTAATATAACATTTTTTTCTTCAAATTCTTAATAATTAATTCTATTGTTAGATAGCAAAATCTGAGATATTGTGCTTTTCTATAAAAAAATTTTTTAATTTATTTAGTTAAAATACAATGTTTTTTTTTGTTCTTTTGTAAACTTCGTTATTTTTAGAAAGTATCTTATCTATGAATACTTAATGAATTAATATTTATGAATACATAATAAGATAATACATAATACATAATAATATATAATACATAATATATAATAAGAATAAAACTGAATAAAAATTTTTAAAAATTCTAAATTTACAAATGTACGATTTCCTGTATTACACAAATAAACAGAAATAAAATTTTCAATAATATATCAATTATTTTACAATTAATTGAATCAGACAAAAAATGTTTTCTATTTATGCTCGCCATAGATACGAGAAAACACACATCTCTAAAAAATGATACATCAAATTTTATTGATCTGAGTATAGAAATAATTATCTATAATTTGTAACTCTTCTTTGCTAAAATGATAATAAAAAGGATAATTTTTGTATTTGCCACTTTACTGTAAATATCAGAAAGTTTATTCGAAACGCCTCCATTTCCATTGATCGACTTTGCAACCCTCGAAAGACTCGAGGGTATCTTGGATCGACATTTGCGCGCGTAATTTCATTTTGTCACCCTACATACGTCTTTTATTCAATTATTGCATGACTCATGGCCAAAAAGATAGGTGTGCGTAGAATATATCTACATATAAAGTTTTAAAGAAACAGCATGTAAAAACTTGATGAAAATTTTATGAAAAATAACGAAAAATATATTCAAACAAAATTTGTTTCGATATAATTTATATCCTTCCTAAGATAAGTTACTTTGAAAGAGATAAAAAATTTAAAAAATAAAAAATTATTAGCCCATTCATTTTCACAAGTACTAATTGAAAAATTTGATTGATTGATTGTCAATAATTTTTCCTTATATGTAATCATTAATATGTATTGCACGATATTTATAATTAATAGAAACATAAATTGTATTTATTTGATGCAGATATATTTTTCTTTGCGCGCGATGAAAAGAATAAACGATGAATTTTGCAAAAATATTCAAGCAAAAGTGAGCATTAATAATAGAATCAATCGAATATAAGATTATTCGGATTATTATTACAGTAAACTGTCATATCAAACTATCTTTGTAATGTTGAATTTCATCATTATTTAATTTATTATGCAAAAAGGTTAGATGTGTTAAATATATATTATTTATATTTCTATCAACTACAATAATAAATTCAATAATATTATAATAGTATTCCGGCATATTATAACTATACATTGTTCCCCAAATGTTAACAATTTGTTTTGCAAACAAATGTTACAACGCTATCAAAGTTGTATATATAAATTGAATAAAATTAATTAATTGAAAAAAATTAATTTTAATATGGTACAATTGTTTTGTATGATTTTAAAATGTTTTTTTTTATTTCAAATATTTATATTTACTTCTTTAATTATATATAATCTCAATTCTGAAAAATATTCTTTGTACCTATCAAAAAAGCAGAATTGAAAGAATACCCATCCTCAAAAGGTCAATAATACATTAGAGGAAAATAGACAAAACAACTTCTCATATTTCCTATTTCTTGAGCTAGAAAAAGTACAATACTCACCTGAATTCTAGCTTCGTTCAATTTGGTGGACCTTGCCAATTCCTCCCTGCAGTATATGTCTGGATAATGAGATTTTGCGAATGCCGATTCCAATTCTGCCAGCTGCTCCTGCGAAACAATTGGGAGGGCCGTAGTAAAGCCGATCTGAACTATCCGGCAGGAAATTTGGCCGCTATAGCGAAAGAACTCGTATCGAGGTAATCGAAAAAGTGTGCAACGAGTTTATCCGTAAATAATCCCTCTATCGAGAACCGTAACAATAATTGAACGTTGGTTGGAGAAAATGTGTCATATTTAAGCCAAGATTTCTTTTTTCTTTTTCTAATGATATGAATTTTATTTTCAAATGATATGAATTCGTGCAAAATTATTATTACGAGAGAAAGTAGATTCGGTTCGCTTGTAACGTATATCGTAAGAATTTTTTGCCAGATCTATCGATGGATAGCATAGGCAATTAACTCTAGATCATTTGTGATTATGATCACGCTATTTAAGTAGTTTTAGAAATGTATCAGAAATTATGCGTGTTTTTATATTTGTATCTCGAGAATTTCTATAAAAGTATAATCTTCTTTGTTTCCATGCGAAGATCTTTAAAAATTCGAAATACAAAATGTTAAAATAAATGTAAAGTATACGTACAAAATGTTAATATATTAGTGGAATATCTTTGAAGGATCGATTAAAATAAATATAAAATTTGGTGTACAGAAATGTCGGTTGAGGTTTATTCATTAAGTTTTTAAGCAATTTAAGTTTGCGTTAGATAAAAAGAGACAAGAGAATAAATATGCGATAGTTAGAAGGAAGACAGAGCGATCTCTATTTCGCTTCGTCTCACGCGAATTTCAATTATCTTATAACGAATATATCATATATGGTATCGTTCAAGCAAAACTTTTGATTCAAATTTGTCATTTCATTGTTATTTGATTGAATTCGAAAATCATGATTATTTTTTATGGAAATCAATGATTTTTGAAATGCTTTAAATATCAATGTAGGCAGTAAAAAAAAAAAAATTAAAATAATCTATATATAATCGAATTAATAATGATTAAACTTATAATGTTAAAATTTATAAATATTAGAAACAAATAACAAATTATCAAAATTATATCTATCTACAATAAAAATATCAAAGTGTATCCTTTAAAATGGAATAACTTTCTTAAAACTGGATAAAACGACTTGAATTTTTTTGAAAAATTAAAAGTTAGTGATTAGTCAGATTACTAGATAAAGAAAAAATTTGTAATTTGTAATTGAATCACGAAGAAAATAAAAGAACATAAGGATCGCTTTTTACTACTTTTTCAACTTGTAATGAAAAATTTAAAAAATACATTTTGTTGGTTATATATGTGGTAAAAATATCATCGAAATCGATTAACGTTACTATGAGTTATGAACAATTAAAAATAATGATAATCCCAGTTTTTCTCGTGTTTTTGCATCAATTGATTTCAAATTTTCATTACAGATAAAAAAAATTGTAAAAAAAGAATCTTTATTTTCTTTGTGATTTCGATTAGTTTCAACTTTTTTAAAAATTTTTTTATCCATCCATTTTTATTCGAAAAAATTCAAATCATTTTCAACCATTTTAAAAATATTATTCTATGATAAATAGACTTATATTTTCGTTTGCTATTGTGTACATCAATCGATCATTATATTTTTTCGCGGAGAATAATATATTTATTAAAGTTCTTGAATTATTTTTTGTAATTTCAAGAATCATTCATTTCCGTGAAAAATGATCATGATTTTTAAATGAAGACTTTAAAATCAGAAAACTTTCAATTTTACTCTGCGATACTGTATAGCTTTATAATTTAACAAATAAACCTTAACGAATATTTTTGTATATCAATTTTTGTATTTATTTTCTCTCGCCTCTAGAATCAATCCTTCAAAGGTATTTTAGAAATATATTAACATCCTATATTATAATGAATATTATAATGAATAAAAAATATGTAAATTATTTGCTGAATATTTAAATATATTATCTTTTTCTTGTAATTCTAATTCAGAATAATTCGACTGTTGACGTCGAAGTTTATGAGTACACGTCAAATTATTATCATTATTATTTATAAGTTGAAATAATATTGGAAATTATATTCTATAGTATAGGTGTATTTTTGAAAAATCGATGGGCAAAACAAACATGAAAGTTGGTATAAAAATTAAAATTGTGTTGTAAAGTTTCAATTTTATGGAAAATTAGAAAATTAAAAAAAAAATGGAAAATGTTTAAAAATTTTAGGAATCATAATTCAAGGATTGTAAAATTATTTTTAATATTTTTAAGAACAAACCTGCGTAAATGTAGTCCTGTGCCGTCGTCGAGCAGGTGTTGGACAACTGGCGGTGGTTGGCGTATGACCTATGTGAGGACTCGAAGCACAGGGGTCAGGTTTTAATTTCTTAAACGCTCCTTCCGCGCCTGGAATTAAAAAGAAATCAGATTTAATTAGTTTTTATTATTCTAAGCATTATTGATCTTATATTTATAGAAGAAAGCAATTAAAACGAATTCTTTCTAAAATAAAAAAAATAAAAAATATGTACATATATTATATAAATCATAAAATTTAAAAACAAAATATTTCTTCATAATATCTTTTGTAAATAATGCAAACTGTCAATCGCATTAATGATTAATGATTTTTATATTTGCGATTTTTGAAATTGTTTCATTGGCTTCTCTTCAATATGACATGTTTAATTGCTTAATTATAGTAGTATAATAAATGTAAAAGTAAATTTATAGAATCTTTTAATTGTTTTTTTAAAAACAATAAAGACGACGATGTTTTTAAAATAATTCTGTATTCTTAAACTCTTATTCGTTGAATACAAAATTGAAATTTGCAATATTTTTTATTGAACAATTTCGAATAGTCAATACATTTTTTAATTTTTAGGATAAAAACAATAAGAAAGTTGGAACAAAAAATTATATTTGCGATTTTTATGTAATAAAATAATATTATTATATAACTGAAGTTTATTTTAATTGTCCTCATAAAAAATAAAAATAAAAAATATATACATATATTATATAAATCATAAAATTTAAAAACAAAATATTTCTTCATAATATCTTTTGTAAATAATGCAAACTGTCAATCGCATTAATTAATATTTTGATTTTTTAATAAACGATTTAAATTAATAAAAAGAATAAATAATTTAATTTTCTATTATAAATAATTAAAAAATTAAAAATAATGAGAAATAATTTGAAAAATTCAATTATGATCTGTAAATATTAAACTAAAAAAAGAAAAAATGAAGCAAATTTCTTATCCAAATATAGATATTAAATTTGCAATAATATAAATAAATTTATTGAACCTCGATTAAAACAATATAACAAATAAACAATAATTCTTAAAAATTATCATTTTTCGTAATGAAAAACATTATAACGTTTTAACTGTACATATAATTAAACTATTGTGCATTAAACTATATTAAACTATTACTATATTAATCAAAAAAATCAAATGTATCAGATTTTGACATTAAAAAACAATAATAAAAATTATTAAGTTTATAACAAAAATTTTTATGTAACAGTCATGTACATATTTATTTAAGAGTATTAAGTTAAAATCATTTCGTTTTAAAAAAAACAAGAAATATTTAATTCATTTAAAACATAACTAATAAAAATAATAAATACGATTTCATAAAAAGAAAAAACAAAAATTGAAATCTGGAAGACATTTAAGATAAGATTTGTGATTATTGAGATATTCTCCTTCAAAACAAAACAAAATTCTCCATTTCTATCAAAAATATTTCTTTCAAAAATAAATAGTTTAAGAGAGAAGTGCATGGATCGCTTCAAGATTGTATATCAATGAAATATTATACAATTTTTAATTTTATTTTTATACATTGCATTTATTTTGCATTTAATTACGACTAAAGTAATAAATAGTAATATATAATATAATAATAATATAATAAGTAATATAAATTAATATCATGTGATAATATGCTTTTCGAATTTGTCTTAAAAAAAAAACCTATATTCTATAATCCTTTTGCTTATTTTATTCAAGTAATATTTGGCCTTACAATTAGTTTTAAAAGTAAAATACGATAAATTTCGAATTCACTAAAAATAAAGTATTTTTGAAATTTTTTCATTGCCAATTGTATACTTGACACAATTAAATTATTAATTCAAAACATTTGTTGTTACATAAATTCATCCAAACAATTAAAAAACAGTAAAACACTTTACATAAATAGTAAATATATATAATCAATCTCAAAAATATTTTTATCCTATATTAAAAGGAAATTTATTTTATTGAAAAATTCTGTTTTTTATTGAAATTTTGTATATATAAAATGAATTATACATGGAAATTTTTTATCATTTACAGAAAATTTTGAGAGATTAAAATTAATCTCGAAACCTTTCAGTCTCTCTTCAATTTTGACAAAGAAACAATCTGGATATTCTTACAATAATAGATAATTATAAACTAAATATTTTACAATTTAAAAATTTCGGCTCTATCGCAAAGGACTATATTTAAAGAAATATAAAAAAAAAAATCGAAACTTTAAAAGAATACATTGCTACATTTATTTATATTCTGCTCACAAAAGTTTCGTTAAAAAAATAAGAACAATCTTTCAAAAAACTAAAAACATTAAATTTTTATATCCAATTTATTAATACTTCTACAACCGACTGTACAACACGCGATTATATATAATATTCATATACAATATTTCGCAGAATATTATAAATATCCATTTATCATTGGATTCATTGGAAAATGGAACGAAAAATCGTATCGTCTGAATCGCGATCGTAAGAAAGACCGTCCATTCATCAGATCGTTTGTTACGAGTTGCATGGTATCCCGATATAGAAGTGCACGTTCGTCTTGGTTGTTTCACGGTATCGGCTTTATGAACGAACATACGAACGTACGGTGGGTAACGGCGGCGAGCGAAGTCCCTCGCACTATGCTAACTTGGTTAGGGCGTTAATGACCTAATCATGTTACATGCTGATTCAATGTTCAAGGATGAATGCTGTCCACTTTACATACCTTGCCCCGTTACCCGGTGAACAGTGAAACTCGGTCAAGTTCATCGTGAAGACGGGGGTATCTTCCCCCGTTATGATCTTCTGTTTCTTAGCAAAACCGCTAACGTGCCCCTCGTTTATTTTATACGATTATTAGATCGAGGGATCGAGGCGATATATTTGAACGATATAATTATTATAGAGTGCGCGTTTGAAAATATCTGGAAATATATTTCTCGTATATGTGAATGAGATTGGATAGAAATATGAGATATCAAGATTTTGATATATATATATATATATCAAAATCTACTATATATATATATATATATATATATATAGTATTGATAGATTTTAAATATTATGACGATTAAAACGCTCTTCATTATGATAATTGTTGTCAATAATTATTTTTGTTTTATTTATAATGCACATTTCGTGGTTCGGTTGTAACAGAAATTTTCTATGCATACACTCGTCAAAATTTATTCAAATTTATTTTGCGATTTTTAAAGAAAAAAGTATTTGAGGTATTCATATATTTTTTAATTATGATATAAATATTAAATACTATGATGATTAAAAGATTTTCTTATAGCAATCGTTGTTGATAGTTATTCTTTTTTATTTTATTTGATGGAATTTTTTGTTTCATTTAATACAAAGTTTCTATGTGCAAGATGAAATTTATTTTTTAAATAAACAGAAAAGGTAATTAATATTATGATAATAGTAATTTTAATTATATTAATAAAGATTTAAAGTATTCGTATTTTTGATTATGAAAGAACTGAAGTGACAAATTTATAGAAATATGAAAATACTTGATTAATAGAATATGAATAAAATTTTAAAAGCGAATTATAAATATAGTATTTATTATGATAATAATGAGCTCATCATTGTATTTTACGAGTCTTGAAAACACAATTTACACATGACTTATTACAAAATAAAATAAATTGTTTGTTTAATTGCGATTTTGTTGATTGATTATATTTATGTTTTACTTCTAAAATCTTGCTATTTTATATATATTGATTTAACATAGTTATTTCATAACTTATTTCTCTCAAAACTAACACTATCATATTAATGTAAAATTTATTATAATGCAATTTTATTTTTTCTTTTTTTAAATGAAAAAATCAGAAGTTTTATAAGATCCATATTAATATTTATGTATATTTATGCAACATCTTATATGGAATTCCTCAAATCTTTAATTTTTTTATTTATTACTATTTTGAGCTTTTTCACATCAAAAAATAAAATAAAGATCTCATATTCCTACTTTTCTTTTATATAGCACAGTATATATTTTATAATATATCACAATATAATGTATAAAAAGAATTTTTTCCTTGCAAAAATTATTTGCTAAGGAAATATATTATATTAATAGTATTAATAGTTTTTTTTGTGAATATGTAAAGATTATATAAAAATTAGCTTTAATTTTTTAAATAGAATTATTTAAATGTAATTTTTAATATAATTTTATTAAAAAAATACTAAGCTATTTATATCGAAAAGTCTTATTAATTTAAGAGATATTATAATTTAAAATTGATAAAATTTATTATGTAAAGGAAAAACGAAGTTTTTATTGCTATTGCTTATCTCCTTATCTTTCAATTTATAATGTAATATATATTCATTTTTAATGAAATAAAAATTTACATTAAAATTGAATTTTATTTTTTCTTGTGTATTCTGAATTTTTTTTAAACGAAATAATGATCTTTAATAAAGATTGTTATCTGGCTTGAAATGTGCTACGTTCGAAATAATTAAGGACGATTTTAACAAGATGAACGAGCTAATAAATGACACGGTTTATAGGATTACAAATAATGCAGATCTCTCTATAGCCTTCACAGCTGTTTGCTTTGCCATCTGTCCTCGAATTCCAGTTAATATGAAAAGCTATTTCTGTGCTTCCAACTCTATCTACCGATTTTTCCTCTAATTACGAGTTTATTTGTTAAACTATCCTACGAGTACTTGATAGAAATGTTATAATACTATGCCATTTGTATGATATTATACCTAAGAATTTCTTGTCTATAATTTATTTGTAATTGAAATGAAAATATTATAATATTAGTTCTTTCCTCTTTTTTTCTCCCAAATTTAAGATTTTATTATCAAGTATTATATAATCAAGATTGCGACTCAAAGAATTCAGCCTCAGTCTCTATAACCTTTTTCCACCTGATGAGAAATTATAAATTATCATCCCTTAAGAATGACGACTGCTTGCTAATAATATATAATGATATAATGATGTATATATTTTTATACAATAAAACTTTATATAAATAAATAATTGCAAACTATCAATCTTTTTATTGTATCTTTTAAATCAAAATAAAAAA